GTTTATTAGATTTTGTGTCTAGATTGTACGGTTTCATTTGTGGCATCTGTAGTATGGAGGCTGGGGTTTGTTCTGTTAAAGTCGACACTTGAACGAGGTAAGATTTCCGAGCACGCTTTTCCACTTTTCTTGTCCAAACGCGAAATTATTTCCTTCCAGAAACTATCAGGGTAAAGGGTACAAGCTTTCGGCGCAACCACTTTTGGGATCGTTTGGGTGGACAAGCGTTATCTATGATTGGTTAATGGTTGCCTTGGATACCATCGACCAATAAAAAAACTAACTAACTTTCACCCAAAGGTTCCCAGAAATTGTTGCACCGAGAGCTTGAATCCATTCCTCTAATAGTTTTTGGAGTGGGGAATTACGGAGACGTAAATAACTTAAAACCCACCACTTGTTCAGCACAAATTTAAGTCACCTGATGGTTGGGTTGGAGGCCCAAGTTCAAACGAGTTCAGCCGGGTTTTTGAAAAAGGGGCGATATCCCACTGGATTTGCACGAAAACTCCTTGCCTTAGTTCAGATGCTCGCTTTCATAAGCCCGCAATGCTGAGGCGTTGGCCTTGTATCCAACACCCCTCGTTCTGAATCGCGGTAAAAGACTGGAACTAGCTTACGATCGAGGCTCGTACAACTTATTAACAATACAAATCGATTCTATTTAAAAGGATGCGTAAATGAAGTATCTCTACTTTGCGAAAAGAGCTAGGAACCTAGTCCTGTTTGTGTGGTCTGGTTGTCATTGTGGGTGTCAGTGAGAAGGAAGTGATATCAAAAGGGACGGGTGGGTGTCCTGTTTCATCATTTGCCACTTTGGTAGAAACTTAAAAGAAGCGACAATTTTTAATATGACAACTTTTTTTCTCACATCAACCTCGCTACAATACGAAAAAAAATCTCTCTTACAACATAGCCCTTCACATTCTGTCATCAGTACTCACAAGGCTCAGTTTGTGACCGTCTACAGTTCACCGTGTGCAATAACTTACCAGATCGTTTGGTCTTTTAAACACTGTCACATTACTCTGTCTTATTCAGTTACTGTAAAATTCCGAAAATAAGCCCCTCAATGTATAAGCTCCTCTAAATATAAGCCCCCCAAACCCATAACGCAAAAAACCCTCCGTTAAATCGCCCCTCCAAATATAAGCCCCCCGGGGGCTTGTACTTGGAAAAATGTCTTCAGATACAAAGTAGAACAAAGCAAAAACGGTAAATTTACTTCCAACTATGAGGCTAGCCCAATCGATTTTGAAACGCAAATTTTCCTCCGTAGATAAGCCCCTCCGAAAATAAGCCCCTCAAAAAGGGCCTTTGAAAAAATAAGCCCCGGGGATTATTTTCGGAATTTTACGGTAATTCTTCCAAACCAAGAGAGGATAAAGGGGACAGAGAAGGCATCCCCCATACACACCCTATTCCATAGGTAATTCGTCTCGAGTTATTGTTAAGACCATAGATCCCAAGGGAGATTAGACAACAGCCAATCACATAGCGCGAATGTGTTCCGCGAGGATGACCCACGCTCAGAGCCACGCGTCCTTCACGAATTGACGCAGAGAAAATGGCAGAAGACGCGGAGAGCGATATTGCTATTTGTTTTGTCGACGGAAACGACTAAAGAGAGATTTCTGCTAAAGCTGTGTCAGCGAAATGGAAATTAAAAAAGAATCGCCCTTCCTCTCTTGTATAGAGCTAACAGTACAGCAGGGAAATCCTTAACACTGAATATTCTGTCAGGATCATTTATAATTTACAGTTTGAGGAGAGCAATTTCTGGTTTGATATTTAGTCTTTTATTAGTCTTTTATTATTCAACAAAAATAACACTTGGCGTCCTACTTGCTTTATTATACAAACGACCGGTTTCAATAGACCGGCGAAATTTCTCATATTATTAAAGCTCTGAGGTTACGACAACTTCGAGTTAAACTGATTTCACGGGTTGTCAAAGAGTCCAGCGATTCCCTTTTCCAAGGTGAGCGCCGACTCATTTCGCTTCAATATTCAAAAATGCTTTCGATCTCTTTACGCTTTCGCCCGACATGTTTTGCACGGCATTTAATCATGCGAAACCTCCACGAAACATCCACTCAGCGCGCGAAGTAACTTTATCCCGATTCTAAAAATAACTCGAGACGAATTACCTATGGAATAGGGTGTGTATGGGGGATGCCTTCTCTGTTCCCTTTATCCTCTCTTGTTCCAAACCCATTCATAGCATCGAAGTACCCATGTTAAAAAAAAAACGAAACCTTGGCTTATGTTAGTAGGACTATAACAGAAAAGTAATAGCGGAATAAAGCCGTCGACGCGAAATCCTAACATCTTCGCAGGTTTGTATTGTACATTACTGTGACGGATTCAGACCTTCAGATAACCCGGGGGGGAGGGGGTGTTCTACCTATAATGACCTATATGGGGAGGTTCCGTGGCTTCCACTTGAAAGGAGTAATTTTTTGTTGTTGTTGTTTAGGCTTCAGGTACGAATGGGTAG